CATACATCAATTGTATCAAGCATATTTGTACATATGTTACCATCATCATTTTCGAAACATTTACTTTCTATTTGAGCCCTTGGTATCAACTTCTCTTTTTCCCTTCCCCCCTCCTCTGCCCACCTTCCCCTTGGTCTAGCCTGCAGTGAAAGGCAGGACTGAGGTCATGGTAGTGGGGGGTGAGGAAGCCTCAAGGAACCAGAGGAATATTGTTTGTTTCATCAGTGCTATACTGCACTCTGGTTGACTCATCCCTTCCTGGTGACCCTTCTGTGAGGGGATGTCCCATTGTCTACAGATGGGTTTTGGCTCTCTGCTCAGACCCCCCTCATTCTCAACATTTTGTTTGTTTGTTTGTTTGGTTCTTCTGATGCCTGTTACCTGATCCTGTAGACACCTCGTGATCACACAGGCTGGTGTGCTTCTTCCATGGGGGCTTGTTGCTTCTCTGCTACTTGCTTCTCTGGCCACTTGTTTAACTTCAAGCTTTTAAGACCCTAGACACTATATCTTTTGATGGCCGGGCACCATCAGCTTCCATCACCACATTTGCTTGTGCACCCATTTTATCTTCCGTGATTGTGCTGCGAGGGTAAACATCACAGAATGCCAGGTTGCTGGAACAAAGTGTTCTTCCATTGAGGGAGGGCTTGAGCAGAGGCCTGAAGTCCATCCACGTCCTCGACGTATTTCCATATGTACATAGGCCACTGGCTCTATTTTTATGAATTGATATATTTACATATGGACACACACCTATGTTTATACCTCTGTCCATAGCTTTGCTTCCTAGATCTTTCCTCCGTTTCCTTTTACCTTCCTCCTTTCCCACCATCACACTCGCCCTTCTTCTGTCTCTTAGTAATTCCTCTCAGCCAGATTGCTGTTGCTCCAACACCCCTAGGATCTCTATGTCCTCCTCGTTGTTGATTTTAATTCCCTAGCTGTTCCCCTGTCTATGGTGTGGTTGGTTTCAAAATTTAAAGAGTATCTCAAGGTGATAGAAAGTCTTGTGGGATGGGGGTGTCTTCCAATCTCATTTGGCCTCGTTATGTCTGGATTTTGAGAGAACTTGAAGTCCTCTTCCACATTTGCCTCCTGTTTTATCAGGATCCATCTCGTGTGGCCCAGATCAGTGTTTGGTCGTGGCAGCTGGGCACTGTCTAGTTCTGCTCTCCGGGTAGAGGAGGCCATGAGTCATAGAGACACGTAGTCCTGGAGACCAGTCGTTTCTCTGAATCTTGGATTTTCCAGCTAGTTTGTCAGCGTTGGCTACTCACCAAACTCGGATAACTCTATCTTATCTTGAATGCACTTCTGTTCTCTGCCAGGGATCATTCTGAACTAGCGCTATCTCCCCTAGTCATCATAAGAACCCTGTGTGGTAGGAGGCTTCATTCCTGTTTTATGGGCCAAGGACACCAACATCTTGATGGTCTTGGTATACCTGTAGCAGAGATAAGCTCCGCCCTAATCTGCCCTTTCCACATTGCATCCTGGGAGCAGTTGCAGACTCTTTTTAAAAAAAATCATTTTATTGGGGGCTCCTACAACTCCTATCACAATCCATCCATTGTGTCAAGCACATTTGTACATATGTTGCCATTATCATTCTCAAAATATTTACTTTCTACTTGAGCCCTTGGTATCGGCTCCTCATTTTTACCCTCTCCGTCCCCCCAGTTGCATACTCTTAACCCCATTTAACCCCATTTAAAGTGGCAGGGTCCCTGGTGGAGTAGTGGTTGCATATTGGACTGCTAACCAAATGGCTTCATACTTTGATAGTTTTGTTTGATAAAGGTTTCTGTGATTTCTGTTTCTGCAATATTTTTTGACTTTGCCCTCATATTATTCATTTATTAACCTCCAAGATTGCAGAATAAAACTACAATCTGATTGAAAAGGGGACTTCAGAAGTTTTGAGAGAGGACATTTGTCAAGTGAGCTCCTTCAGAGCAATCTGGTGCTCATTTTTGTTTGTTTGTTTGTTTTTGTTTTTTTTCTGGTATTCATTTTATAGGCTGTAGTCCCTCTGGTCCTGGCGTTACTCAAGAGAGTGGAGTTCATACTTCTCCTTCCTTAAAGACAATGTATTGGGGTCACAGAGAGAACCACACGCTATGTTGTGTCCTATCAAGGGCACTTCTGCAAAACGGAATAGAATGGAACTTTCCCCACACATTTTTTAAAGCCCCTTCACACACACAGATAGACACATGTAGATGGACACACGTGTTTATCCATAGCGTAAGCTGAAGTTCCATGAAACCACACCTGCTTGTTGTCATACATGCTGATGGATTCCAGTCCAGGAAAACAAACAGAAGAAGCTGACCGTGGTGCTGAGTGAAATCAGCCACTAACAGAAGGACAGATACTGTCGCTCTCACTTAAGCATCTGCACAGATTTAGAAAGGAAATCAGAGGTTACTTATGCTGGGGCTGAGGTAGGAGGGGGTGTAATGCTTAATGGGTGCCCAGGCTCTGTTAAGGATCCCTGGTGGGGCAGTGGGCTCAGCTCTAGTTTGCTGACTGGAAGACAGGCAGTGGTTTGTGCTCCCCAGACGTTCCGTGGGAGAAAGACGAGGCAGTTCTGTAAAGGTGTGCAGCCTCAGAGACCCCAGAGGAACTACTCTGCCCTGTAAGGTTGCTGGCAGTGGGAGGAGGTGCTGTTTGGGGTGATGGAAAAGGTTTGGAAACACTGATTGTGGTTGCATCATAGTTTGCCTATACCCAGTACCGCCGAATTATATGCTTAAAAATTGTTCTACAGGCAAGTAGAACC